CTGGCCCAAAGTCACCCAGCCGGCTTTCAGGCCTATGGCGGAACCAGAACTCCCTGGCTCCCAGTTTCTAACCCTGATGTGTGAACAGCTAGACCAAGCTGGCTCTCCATTATTAATACTATTATTGGTATTTAGAAAGTCAGGGGGAGGTTGCTATTTGGGGATATTTGCAGGGATTATTCAAAGGGAGTGCAGGAGGTCAGCGGGAGCTGGCTATGATCACCGGATATGATTGCTATTCTTTCCTTTGTGAGGAAAAATAAATCATGGAATGTGGGGACGCGGTGAGAAATGACACTCGTTGGATCAAGGATATGGCTATTATTATAATTATTACGATTATTAATATTTCCCCCCTTAAAAATGAGAGTACGGGACGACCAATCTTGGGGTGCATTTATTGGATAATGTTTGGATCAAGGACATCATTATTATGACTGTGTGGTTATTTAGGGGTTGTTGGTTTTTTTTTAAATGATAACATTGCAATCCGTCCAAATGAAATTGATCGCTGGATAAATTCCATAGAACAGCAGGGATAATAAACTCTCCTTTTTTCTCCCCCTTCTTCCTTCTCCAGCACAGGATGAAGGCACGCTGACATGGCTTTCAAATGCAGAGCACAAACGTTGCAGGTGGTTGATACCGAATATAGTGCGGACACGGTCGAATGGTGCCCGGTGGAAAGCTGGCACAACATCCTGGCATGTGGCACCTACCAGTTGAAGAAACCAGAGAGTGAGGTGAGCTGTAGACTTTTTCGAGAAGCCAGAGAAAACTCATGAAATTGTTTTGCACTTAGAGTCTTAATAAATGGGTTGGTTGAGTTTGGGCCTTTTTTTCTTCTTCTACTTCCTAAACAGCCTGGCCAAAGTCGTAGCAAGGACAGCGAATCCCCTGTGCGTCTAGGACGTATCTACCTCTATTCCTTTGAAGATCAGATGTTCACACCGCTGACGGAGATCCAGAGGCTGGAAACGGTGGCTATATTGGACCTTAAATGGTTGGATGGATGCTTCTCCATTTCGTTTGCATGTTTTTACTCCTCCGAGAAATTAGATTAGCTGGGGAAGGGTCATTTCCTTTGCAGGAAAGATTTGCCCATAGGGGAGAAAGTTGGGGCTTTCAAGGTAGAGGAGGTGTCAGGCGTGAGTTGAAGGCCTCCACCTCCGTGGTGGACTTCACAGGGCGACCATCAAGGCTATGATGTTCTCTATGCAGCACGGTCCACATCTTTCATGATCGGGAGGGAATTGGGTGCCTTCGGCATAAGAGCCAAGTGCTTAAGGCATCAGGCTAGAAAGCAGAAGACTGGGAATTCTAGTCCTGCTTAAATATGAAAGCCAACTGGGTGTCATTGGGCCAATCACCAGGGGACAGTGAGTTCTAGACCCATCGTAGGCTTGAAAGCCAGCTGGGTGACTTTGAGCCAGTCACCAGGAGATTGTGAGTTCTAGTTCTGCTTTAGGCACGAAAGCCAGGTGGGTGACTGAGCCAATCACCGGGAGATTTGTGAGTTCTAGTTCTGCTTTAGGCACGAAAGCCAGCCCAGCGGACCTCACCAAGTTCTTGTCATGGAGGAAAATAGGAAGTTGTATTGGATGTGTTCATCGCCTTGAGTTATGTGTAAAAAATAAATCAAGGTGGGAGAAAGATAAATAAAACATTATTTTGCCTTGCTCTTCCTTCTGTAAAATGGGTGGCGTGCTCTTCCAAGACTTTCAGTCAGTGTTAATAATTTCTGCACCCAAGGCTGGGTGGAGTCAAGCTGGAAATGAAATGAAATGGTCTTCCTTTTTTTTTTTTTGCAAAAGAGGGAGGGAAATTATTCTTTTTCCCTCTGCTGATGTCTTTGCTATCTCTTCCACTTCCAGGTGCCATGTTCCCATCGCAGGGCGGCCTGTTTTAGGCATCGCCAATGCCCAGGGAGCGGTGAAGCTGGCCCATTTGATGGGAAGCGAGGTAGGTGTTCTCGACCTGGGCTTCCCACGCTCATTAAGCCGACTCCTCGTCCCGATAAAACCCCTTTTATTTAGGTTGAAGGGAATTCCTCTCCAGCAAAGTCCCGGCCAACAGTCTTTCATGAGATTTCACAACCACAGACCTTTATCAGGCTTGGAGAGTTGCCAGGCTGATAGCTTCCAAACGCCACGCTGTAGCAGCAATGACTCGGCAAGAAGTCAGGGACAGATCTTCACCCTAATTAAACGAATTAATTGTCTCCTGCAAACCCCACTCCCCTTTCCTTCCTCTTTATTCCCTCTGGGAGGGGCCATTCACCGTCCACCTGTGCCTTTCCTCTCGAGTTGTCCTTTGTTCCTTAATTGTTCCCTTCTCCTGGCAGCCACTTGAAACGGGACATCCGTGTTTTCTTGACCCAAGAAACTTAGCATCTACGCATTAGACCTTGCTAGGTTTCGTAACTGGTGCTGGAGACCAGTTTCCACGTTGAAAGTTCTCACCAGTCTCCTTTTCTTTCCAGTAGAAGAGTTGCAGGCTTCATCCCCTCTGCAGTGTTGACCTGGGAGGTGATTGCCTTGCTTTGTCGCTGGACTGGTCCACGGGGCTAGAGCAGTGGTAAGTGGTTGGAGGGCCTAGCACGGGGTTGCCCAACCTTGGCAAATTTGAGATGAGTTGACGGGGCAATGAATCAGTGGAACAGCTTGCTTCTCGAATGGTGGATGCTCCATCGCTGGAAGTTTTCGAGAAGAGATCGGGCAACCGCATGTCCTGAATGGAACAAGGACCCTTGTCTCAGGCAAAAGGTTTGGACTAGGAAGGCCTCCAAGGTCTCCCGCAGCCCTTTGATTCTAAGATGTCCGGACTTCATCTTCCAGCATTGCCCAGCCAGCCTACCTGTGCAGGTAACCCTCGACTTACAACCCCAATTAGGCCCGAAGCTTATGTTGCTAAGCATAAGACAGTGGGGCAGGCTCTGGCAAATAGCCCCTTCTGTTCTGACCAAGGCTTCGGAGACAGTAATTACGCACACGCTTATTTTAAAAACAAGTCTTGTTTTATTGCAACGCTGGGAATTGTTTTCATTCCCAGCCAGTAATGAATTCTCAAACAGTCCCTTGAGATAAGCACCCACCTTTCTTTCCTGTGAAGTGCTGCCAATAACAGAAGTGTCAAATGAACCAGAAAAACAAACAAAACCAAAGTACAGAGCTTCAAGAATGAATCTGAACTGAACGAACAACCTTGCTTCCTGCAAAGGTTTCCTCACCTTGGCCTGACTTTTATTCTTTATGGGAGGGGCAATCACATCCCAGCCTTACTTCTGAGTCGCCCCTTTTGTCTCAGCTGCTCTTGCCTTCTAGCAGCTCTGTGCACACACGCACTGGGAACAGGCTCCCTCTGTTCCTCTGCCTCGCTGCTGCCAGGCTCCGGAGGCAGCACCCCACTCCCAGATGGTCCTGGCCCCATCTCTGCATCGGACGCAGGACCCTCGTCCGAGTCCTCCCCAGATTCCTGGACTGGTCCCCATTCTTCCCCACTGTCCGATTCCGTTGCCGTCTGCACAGACTGCCAGCGAACCACAACACCTTCCATCCCTCTTCAGTTTCTGAGAAGACTTCTGGTGCTCATTCCTGTCCAACATGGACCTTCTGATGTTCCCCCGTCCCTTAACAAGCATCACAGCACAACTCACGCTGAGTTTTAAACTTTGCATCCTGGCTTCCGATCAATGCTGGATGGTAGTAGAGACGGCAGGTGGTTCAGCATTCGTTTTTTGCTTTAAAAGGTTTTCAAAAGTTGCCTTTTTGAAACAAAAAACAAAAACTATTTCACGCCATTTCTGCAGCGGTCACCCCCTGCGACTGGTCAGCAGCGATTCCAAAGGGAGGGTCAGCTTGCTGTCAGTGGACGAATCCAGTACCTCGGTGCACGTCTTGGACCAGTGGAAAGGACACGACTTTGAAGCCTGGGTGGCTGCGTTCGACTACTGGAACACTCGTGTTGTGTACTCAGGTGCGCATTTGCTCGGATGGTAGTTTGCAAGAGTCTCCGGGAGGCCAGGAATAGGTTGAATGCGAACCAGGGTTGGCCAAACGCTGTGGCAATGTGTGAATCCAACCAGGGTCAAGATTAGCTTTGAAGCTTTGAAATAATAATCTGCTTTTGTCGTTCTAAACACAATGGAAACATATCAGCCGCGCATTTTCTTGGTCTTCCCTTCCTGGATCTAGGTGGAGACGATTGTAAACTACAGGGCTGGGATACTCGGAGCAGCTCAAGAGCTCCTCTCTTCACCAGTGAGCGGTAAGTCGTACAATCTATCTAAACTCCTTCAACCCCTTCCCTCAAAACGACACTATGCAGAACACTGCACACCAGAACAACTAGACACAAGGGGAGTTTTTTCCCCAAACGCCATCACTCTGCTAAACAAATAATCCCCTCAACACTGTTCAACTATTACGAAGTCTGCATTACTATCACTTTTAATCCTCCCATCCTTCCTTTCACCCATCTCCTCCCACCTATGACTGTAACTTTGACACTTGTATCCTTATGATTTATACTGACTGTTTCCTAGTATGATTCGATTGCTTATTGGTACCCTATGACTATTGTTAAGTGTTGTACCCGATGATTCCTGACTCTTGATGAATGAATCTTTTCTTTTATGCACACTGAGAGCTTATGCACCAAGAGAAATTCCTTGTGTGTCCAATCACACTTGGCCAATAAAGAATTCTATTCTATTCTATTCTATTCTATTCTATTCTATTCTCTATCCCGTCCCATCCCATCCCATTTAAATTTTATTCCTATATCCTTCTATTCTATTCTATTGTACCCTATGACTATTGAGTGTTGTACCTGATGATTCTTGACCAATGTCTCTTTTCTTTTATGGACACTGAGAGCATTTGCACCAAGACAAATTCCTTGTGTGTCCAATCACACTTGGCCAATAAAGAATTCATTCCTTCATCTCTGAAAAGAATCCATGGCTCCCATCTTGTGCCAGGAAAGCCGGGGGTGGGTGGGTGGGTAGGTGGGTTGAACAGCCTTCTTTTGATGTGGGTTTCATTTCAGGCATTCTATGGGGGTCTGCAGTATTCAGAGTCACCCGTTGCGGGAAAATCTGCTAGCTACGGGAAGGTGAGTCTCCAAAGGATACGAAGTCAACTTTTAGGAGCATCTTGTAAATTTCACACGGTCGTACAGGCAGTCCTCGACTTACAACAGTTCGTCCAGTGGCCGTTCAAAGTTACAATGGCACTAAAAAAAAAAAAGTCTTCACAGTTACAATCCGTTGCAACATCCCCATGGTCACGCAATCAAAATTCAGAGGCTTGGCAATTGACTCGTATTTACGATGGTGGCCGTGCCCCCTTTTGCGACTTCCTGGCAAGCAGGGTCAGTGGGGAATCCAGATTCATTGAACAACCGTGTTACTCACTTAACAGGGGCAGTGATTCACTTAAGAAACATGGCGAGAAGAGTCGTAAAACGGGACAAAACCCACTGAACGAATGCCTCTTAGCAACATAGCTTTGGGGCTTGTGGTCGTACGCTGAGGACCCCCTGGGCTACCCTTAATTTGTATTGTTTTGTTCCTTTGCTGTAGTTAATGTTGACATTTGTTTAGCATCTGAATTTGGATCGTGGGGGCGCTGTAACGGTCAGAAGTGTGATGAAAGCTGTAAGTCACTTTATTCAGTGCCGTTGCATCTTCTCAACATTCCATTTGATTAGAGTTTTCATATTGGCACATCTGGGAAAATCCCAATCTGAGAGTTCCTTCAGTCCATCACATGGCCCAATCAAATCTTCATCCCAGCTGGAGCCCTCCCTCCAGTCGCTCCCCTCCAGGTGCAGGGCGACACGTCCTTCACTCTCTGAGAAAAGATTGTTGTGTCTAATCTTCCCTCCTCCCAAATTCCCAGGCACGGAATGTGGCAGCCTAGAAGCTCCAAAAGAAAAATGGCTTCCCAGGCTGACAGGAGGAGAAAAAGTTCTCGACTTGTGTTTCTGCAGCTATGACGAACACATCCTTCTCTGGGACACCAGAAAGATGAAGCAGCCCCTGGCGGACACCCACGTGCAAGGCGGCGTCTGGCGCTTAAAATGGCACCCGTCTCAGGAGCAGTTGCTGCTTGCGGCCTGTATGCACAATGGCTTTGCAATCCTCCACTGTCCCAATGACTTAGGTGAGTGTTTTGATTGGAGGAAGCCACCCACGTCACTGCTGACTTCGGCTGTAGTAGTTTCCAAATACGCCTTGGCATAGGACCGCAATCGAGCGCAACATTTCTGCGGCTAAATGGATCATTGACTTGAGTTGGCCCTCATTTTACACTTTAGACATGAAAGATGGCTGGGTGACTTTGGGCCAATCACTAGGAGAATGTGAGTTCTAGTCCTGCCTTAGGCCTGAAAGCTGGCTGGGTGATTTTGGGCCAGTCCCTCCTTTCTCAGCCCAACACATCTCACAGAAGTATTCTTAGGGAAAGAGGAGGAAACTGTGTTGGTTAGGTTTGCTGCCTTGCGTTGTTTGCAAAATATTAATAAAGATGGGATACCAAAAAATAAAACATAACTTTCCCTCGCCTCATTGCCTGAATAAAGAATGTAATTATGTCCAGGTCCAACAGCCCTCCTCTTTTCTTCCTGCTCTTAGAAGAGAACCAAGAGAAATGCACGATCCTGTCATCTTACGCCTTGCACAATTCTTTGGCTTATGGAGCCGATTGGTCCAGGCTTCTCCCGAGCGACTCTTTGGAGGCGTCTATGGCTATGGTGACCCTTCAGGAGGACCCAAGAGCCAGCCGAGGGGACCTCAAAGGGCAGAACCTCAAGATCATTTACGAATCCCCCACGGCCACCTTCGATGTGCTGCTCGAGGAGGAAGATGACCAACCTCCCGTGTCTCCATTGCGAGCAGAAGGTACCTTAGCCCCACAGGAGCCTTCAGGTGATGGAAGAACTCCAGATACCAAAGCAAACGGGGATGTCCAAGCAGCCAGAGGCCAAAGGGAGACCAGCCTCTTAGCGACATGCTCCTTTTATGACAACATTCTACACGTTTGGAAATGGGAGGTCAGCCGGAGTGTCCCTCTGGCTTAAACCCACTGTTGGGGTGTGGAAGGAGGCCTCCAGTATATTTTCTATCCATAGGTGGGTGGGGGGGCAGGAAGCATGCTGGAAATGACTCAAGAGTTGAACTGCGAGACTCTTGGGGGCTCTCTGACCTTTTGTAGTTTACTTGCAGACATTTCATTACCAAACTAGGTAACATCATTGGAGCTAGAAGGGAGTGCAGACTGCTGTGTAGAGGACTGTAGAATTCTTGGTACTCTGAGCCACGTTTTCTTGCAGACGTTTCGTGACTCTAACTAGGTAACACCATCAATGCTAAGGGTGGTGTTTGCTCCCTGTTTACCTACAGTAGCTTCTCCTTTCAGTCTCGGTGGAGGTGTGGGTTTTCTCCTTGGAAGTTGTTGTGTAGGGTATTGTTTTCTCCTTGTCCGTCTGCTGTTAATTCCTGCTTATTTGGATATTGGATGCCGGGCGCTACTAGTAGTTGCAAGGTAAGCTACTGAATATGAACAGGGAGCTCGTTTGGTACTTCACTACCTAGTTTGGTCATGAAACATCTGCCAAGAAAACCATCAAGCTCAAAAGAGCATCAAGGAACCCACAGTTCAATTCCAAGCTATCAACATTCTCTTCTATCAATATGTTTTTATATTACTGCTGGGAGCCTCCAGTAGCTGTGAGGTTTGAAGGCTCTTATGTTGCTTACTTGGTTCTTTCCAACAGCTTTTTTTTTTTATACTGCAGAAATAAGATTGTTCAGGTTCCATAATTTCCTGTTAATTCCACTTTTCCCCTAAGATTTGATTCTTGCAACATTCTCAAACACCAGCTTTAACATTGGGAGTGCCATTTGGCTCACATTTCCTCCCCAAATATATAGGGAACCTGAAGTTCTATTCAAGCTTGTGAAAGAGGCTGAAATTAAAAACGGCAACCAATGATCATTGCAAAGATATTCTCTTGAAATCCAAGCACAAGCTCTTTTGTGGTGTAGATTGGCCTCATCAAAGGGCGTATTTATAATCTGAGGTATTACAGATTGTGGCATTTTCATACAAACATGCTCATTGGCATTGTAAAGAGCACCTTTCAGCTAAAATATATTTTTGATCTTTTTTACAATAAAATCTTGTCTTGTAAGATCCACTGTCCTTTTCATTTAAGCTATTAAGACAAGTATCAAGGATCACAAGGATCAAAGCCTGTGTCAAAAACTACTTTGGACTGGACCAAATTTGTCTGTGTAGAGAACGGCTGTTTTATATAGAAAGGAATGTACTCCGTCATGCTTAAGTCTGTTTCAAAAGCAAGGTGTATTTTGCTCAGAGAAGGAAGTAATACAGTAGCCATACAGTCAACAGGTAAGAATATCTTACAGGTGGACTAAGTATTGTAAAACTGGAGGCAAGTACTGGCAAGAATAGTTTCCGATAAGTACTTCTAGAATTGCGACTGCTAGAGTGTGTCTGTGCAAGGGTTTGCTAGTTTAAACAACATAACCAACTAAAGAAATCATAGCTAAGAAACAGGTTTTAAAATGGTAGTTCATTCCCTGAACATATGAGAGCTCTAATGTATGCTATTTTCTTTTTGTGTGTGTGTGTGAAAAGGATTTCATTTTCAATTTAAATCTAAGCAGCACAGAAAACAGGAGCCCTTCATCCCCACCAAATTCAGTGCCCACACTCCATTAAAACCCCACCGCCAGAATCCTCATCCTTGCAAGCCCTTCCCAGGCGGATTTCTTTGAACAGAGAGTACCACCAACTCCCCAGAGAAACACATATATTGAAGACTTTTTTGGACACAACTTTCAAAGCAGAAACATCAACGCTTCTCAACCAGGGAGGTGTCACATTCTCTTTATTCGTAACCCTCCACCCCAAATTATCTGGTCCAAAAGCCCCCTTCTGAGAAGCTATCTTTTCTTTTGAGATATTGTGTCTTTTCTCCTCTTCCAAGAAATAGTCTTTCCCCCCTTTTCTTCCCGGAAATGGTGTCTTTTCTCTCTTCTTCCAGGAAATTGTTTTTTCTTCTTCTCTTTTTCCAAGAAATTGTCCTTTTTTCTCCCTTATTCCAGGATATTATCTTTTTTCCTCTGCTTTCGATCCTGTATTTAAAAGGCTTCAATAAAGTTGCAGTCCTGGGGGGACAATTTGTCTCCACTTGGGGGGGGGGGGGTGTCTCTTTTCTTTTCCTTCCTTTTTCTTTCTTTCCTTCCTTCCTTTCTTCCACCCGCTAGCGCACGAAGTTCTTGGGGAAGAGCCTGAAAAGCTTCCCCTCCTGGCTGCTCTCGAAGCCGTACTTCTCCAGGGCGTCGGGGTCGAAGACGCCTTCCTTGACGTCCTTCTCGATGAGAGGCGCGGCGGTCTGCTGGAAGAGAGCGCGGGCGGTCAGGGGCGGCTCGCTGCCGGCGGGCGCCCGGTAGGAGACGTACGCCTTCAACCGGAAGCCCCTCAGGTCCGGCACCATCAGCACCGGCACCTGGTCCTTCACCAGGACGAACTTGCGGCTCGACGTGATGCAGCCGAAGACTTTGCAGCCGCGGCTCTTGAAGAAGGTCCGCGGGCCCCGCTTGCTCGTCCAGGCCGACATTCGGTCAGCGCCGCGGAACAGGCCTCGCGTCACCTCGCCCAGGAGACCCATGGCGAACTAGGACGGACGGACGCTCGGGCGCCCACCTGTGCAACATCGGCGCTTCCGATTAGATCGTCCACCTCTGCAACATCGCCGCTTGCTATTGGACCGTCTAGGCGCTCTACCAATTCGCCTCGGCCGTGCTCACGTCCCCTTCGGATAGGGCGACATTTTAACCAATCGGATGCAAGAAGACGGGACTGGTCCGGTGGCCACGCCCACTGCGGGGAATGTGTCTCCTGATTGGAGTTTGACTCGGGATTCCTCCTGCTCGGCGGGGGAGAAGCCCGTGACTGTAGAACTACGAAAAAGTGAAGAGAGACGCAGCTGCTGAGAATGGAGATTTTATTTGTTAATTTATAATCCGACTTTTTATTATCAATTATATTTATATTCCTCCTTTATTGTTTCTTATAGCCCCTTCATAGTCCTCAGCCACCTTCATATGGTGCCCTCCAGAGGGACTTCAACAACCGGGCTGCTTCTGAGTGGGGATGATGGACAATCCTAACCGTACTTAAAATATTCCACAGTGGGTGGGGCAGCACAACAACCCTGCGAGGTCGACCAGCTTTGGAAACTGAAAGTTTCAACACTGGACGTTTTCAAAAAGAAATTGGACAACCATTGGTCCCCAATGGTACCGAGTTTCCTGCCTGAGCAGGGGGTTGGACTAGAAGACCTCCAAGGTCCCTTCCAACTCTGTTATGCTAATTCTATTATTATTATTTCTGTTTCTATTTTCTTTTCTACTCTATTACATATTGTATTCTCATGTATTTATTGTAATGTATTCTATTATGTATTTTGTATTCTCCTATGTATTCTATTCTCTTATGTATAATTATTCTATTCTATATTATGGATTGTATTGTATTGTATTATGTATTTTGTACTCTTATATATTGTATTCTCTTATGTATTCTATTCTATTCTCTTATGTATTGTATTCTATACTCTTATGTCCTATATTGTATTCTATTATGTATTGGGTTGTACTCTTATTATGTATTGTATTCTATTGTATTGTATTGTATTGTATTGTATTCTATTGTATTCTATTCTATTCTTTTGTCTTCTATTCTATTATATTATATATTGGGTTGCATTCTATTGTTATGTGTTGTATTCTATTCCCTTTTGTGTTGCATTGTATTCTATTATGTATTGTATTCTATTATGTATTGTATTGTATTCTATTATGTATTGGGTTGCTTTCTATTGTTACGTGTTGTGTTGTATTCTCTTTTGTGTTGTATTGTATTGTTTTATGTATTGGGTTGCATTTTATTGTTATGTGCTGTATTCTATTGTGTCGCCTTATGTACTGGATTGGACAGTGACTGCATTCTGCTCTCTTCTATATTGTATTGTTTGAGTGCTGTACTCTCCACTCCACTCCGCTCTCTTCTTCCAGATTTTGGGAAGGTGGCTGGAGGATTCTTGGAGTGACCTCCCCGCCCTCCACTTTCTGCCGCGTCCCCTGAGAGCCTCCTTCAGGGCGGGATTCGCCTTCCTCTGCCATTCCGTTTCTCCTCCAGCCTTGGACTACCGCACCCATCCCGGCCGGGGAGGATGGGAGTGGCGCAGCCCCACCTGGCAAAAACCAGGCTCCTTCCCCCCCCCGGGCATCCGTGACGGCCGGAAGTGACGCTATTGGGCGGGGGGAGGTGGAAAGTCCCCGTCCCTCCCTCCCGCCCGCCCCCAAGAATGACCCCTGACCTCTGGCGGCGCCCTCCGCCGGGCAGCCGTTAGAAGCGCCGCTGCGGCCGCCGCCGCCGCCCCCTCCCTCCGTCCCGGCCATGGGGACCGCGGCAGGCTCGCCCTCCGAGCGCCAGGTAGGGTCGCCTCTCCCCCACAAGCCCTGGGACGCCTGGACTACAACTCCCAGCACCCCCAGCCGGGGAGAGAGAGGGGGGGGTAGAATGGGGTCCACCAGGAAGTCTGGGTTGAGGAGGGGAGGGGGGGAAGTTCTTCCAAAGGGCTGGGACTACAACTCCCAGCGTCCCCAGCCCTGAGGTGGAGGGACTTGGGAGATAGGGTCCCCCTGCCTGAGCAGGGGGGTTGGACTAGAAGACCTCTAGGGTCCCTTCTTTCGTTGGACTTTTGTTCTTCTGTCATTCCAGTCTTGTTGTGGGAAGTGCCAGGCAGTTTGGGCCAGGGGGAAAATTGGGGGTAAAATCCATCCATCCCGATTCCGGCCAACATGGTTTAATGCCAGGGTACCCCCTTCACACGTTTCTATCCTGGTTATCTCTCTCGGATTATGAATTGTTTCAGATTTGTCTTTGCTCTTTTGAAGTTTGGAAGTTGTGGGTGGTGGGAAATGGGGGAAAAAAACCAAAACCAACGGGACTACAACGCCCAGCATCCCCAGCTGGGCTGTAGACTGGGTGTGCGGCAGGTTCCTCCCAACAGAGAAGACTCGGTTGGGGAGGGGGAGCTCTTCCAAAAGTTGTAGGGCGACTACAACTCCCAACGTTCCCAGCTCTGGGCTGGAGAGGAGTGGGCTGGACTAGAAGACCTCCGGGGTCCCTTCCAACTCTCCTCTTCTGTATTTTGTAATTTCAGTCTTGTTGGACGTGCCAGGCAGGGTGAGAAAGGGGCAACTGGGATTAAATCAATCCATCCCGGTTCCAGCAAACAGGGTTTAATGCCAGGGTCACCCTTCGCACGTTTCTATCCTGGTTATCTCGGATTATGAATGATTTTATATTTGGTGGTTTTTTTTACCCCAACCTGTATTTTCATGGCTGTATTGGTCTTTTAAAAGTGACCTGTTTTTTTTTTTTTTAAGTTGTGTGGTCTGGAACTGTAAATAAAATGGGGGGAAAACGATGGAACTACAACTCCTAAGATTCCCAGCCGGAGTGGCATCCAGTCAGTTTCAGTCATGTTGGTTATGTGCTGTTGAATCATTCAATCCTGGTTCCAACAAACATGGTTAATGTCAGAGTCTCCCTTTGCACATTCCCATCCTCCCCATTTTAACTTGCATTTGACTGCATTTATATGTCACGGAGGGAAAAATAATATCGGTTAGTGCTTGACTTACGACCGCAATTTGAGCCCCAAAATTATGCTGCTAAGTCAGAAATTTGTTCTGCCCCATTTTACGATTTTTCTTGCCACATTTGTGAAGCGGCCATCATAAATATGAACCAGTTGCCAAGCATCTTAGTTGCAAGGACCCCACAACAGTCGTTAAGTGTGAAAAATGGTCGTAAGTCACTTTGTAACATCGACGGGCCACTAAACAAGCTGTTGTAAGTCGAGGACTAACTGTACAACTCCTTCATTATTTGTACGAAAAGCATTCCTGTTTCTTCCACTGGTGGGTCAATTATTACACACACACCCGCAAGCAAATATTTTTCCTTCTGTTTTGCCAATTTATTATGTCTTTTGTTTCCACATGGAATAAATATGTACTGTATTTCAGACAGAAACCTTGTGTCTAAGCATTCTGGCTTGCATATTTGCTCAGATTCTAACTTGTATCTTTTGGGGCTGGAAAACAAGAAAAAAAAGCATTTTCGTTACAATATTCTTTGGTGGATACTTCCTTGCTGTTCTTTATTCCCTGGCTGAACTTCCAAAGTAACTTGTATCCTTTTTAATTTATTTCCATTAATTCAAAGCCCACTTTTGCCTGCGAATTCTTTGGCTCTGCCTGCTACATTCTCTCCTGCTCCACATTTCAGCCTAAATAGGATATAATGGCTATTATTTGCATCCCTCTCCCCTGTTGGGACCCTGGTTCCGTTAACCCTGGCTCTACAGCCAGCTGACACTTCATTTATGGACTGCTCAAAGTTACAACGTCACTAAAAAACGTGACTTAGGGTCATTTTTCACACTTAACGACCACTGCGGCATTCCCCATGGTCACATGATCTAAAATTCAGGTGCTTGGCAACTGACTCACGTTTATGACAGTTGCGGTGTTCCCTGATCTGTTTTTTGGGACCTTTTGATAAGCAAAAAAGTCAATAGGGAAGCCTGATTCACTTAACAACTTTGGCGAGAAAGGCCGTAAAATGGGGGTAAAACTCAAGCAGAAATGCTGGGCACAATTGTGGTCATGTTTTATTTTATTTTCTCCTTCTGTTATCTGTCTTCTGGTGGTTTGATTAGCGTGGGAGCTCTTTCTGGCCGGCGCCCTTGTTTGAATTGTAAAAGTCTTAGTCAACCATGAAATGATAACAGTTTCAATTGAATTATGCCTCAGAATTATGACTCTGTGTGTGTGTGTGAGAGAGAGACAATAAACCTGAAATGTGTGTCAGTGTGTGTGTGCTTTCTGAGTTTCGCTTTGGAGAGAGTAATGCTCTTGTCTTGTGTATCAGTTTGTAAACAGAAAGAAAGCTTTGTTTGACTGATTTTGCCCTCGTTCAACCACTTGGACCTTAAAAACAGAACCTTCCTTGCATTATTTTTCTTTTGTTCGCCACCATTAGATGGCATTGCTTGTCCAGTCAGCTCTTCGTCCTACACAACCCTTGAAAGTTAAGGGTGTGTGTTTGTCTTGCTAACTTGCTGCCAAACCCTTGGGTGGTTCTTAAATGAGGGTGATGTTTTTTGGGGTCTTTCAAATAAAGGAACTAGAGTTTTTCAGGATGCCAAGTTGGGTGTGTGAAGACTGGTTTCCCCTCTTGCTTCTGTCTTGGCACAGATCCATTGTCACCCAGGTACAATTTATTTGAAACGGTCCAAATTCCACTTGGAGGAAATAAACAAAAATAAAAAGAAATAAAACCCTGATGATTTATAAAGAGAAACTGCTCTTTTGGAAGTTTAGGAGATTTTCTTATTTTGGTGTGAAGATGAAACCCCCAGCAGAGAGTTTGAAGCAGAGATTAAAATAATTGACTGGAAAAACGGCTCTCGGAAATGCGCTTTAGAAGAATCGTTCATTTGTCTTCATTTTTGAGCTTAAGTCAGTTTTCAAACATGCTAAGTCTTTTCTAAAGCCTCTGGGGAGGAAATGTTGGTTCCCTTCCAACCTAGTTTATACCTTTGGTGTTTTTATCCTTTAGGACAGCTTCTTAACAAGTGCCGACCTACGAACCCGAGTCCTCCAATTTGTAGAAGAGAGGATTCAGACAACTATGGTAACGTTTTGGGAACGTTTAGAAAGAAGTGTTTTCATTTCACATGCCTCTCCCACCTGGTTTTATATCACACCCAACTTCCCTGTCCGTGTTTCCTTCCCTTCTAACCAAAATTAGAAGATTATCATGGCTGTTATAAATGTTAAAGTGATGATGTTTGGTTAGTCATGTCCTAATTAGACCTGAAAATTGCAGTTTATTAATGTGGCCCAGGAATCTGCCCATTCTGGTGAGTCCTGACTAGTCACCAAGTCACTAAGATTTGGCCCCATCTGTAAAAGAATATCGTGGCCTCCAAAACAGCATAAGGTCACCTATAAAAGTGATTTACGAATGCATGAATGTGAAGAGCGATTAGGCATTGTGAATATTTCAGTTTAAATCTATTTGACTCAATACATATCAAGAGGCTATCGTGGCCTCCAAAACAGCATAAGAGGAGAGAAGAACCTCTAAGCTGGGCACTTGGGTAGGGATGAATTTATAAGGATTTTTTGTTCTGATTGGAAGTAATAAAGATAGCATGGATTCTTGGTTGCTCCAGATTAGGAGCTTATTAAACTAACCCAACACAGGTAGTTCTCAATTTACGACCAGTCAATTAGCAGACCTCCCCAGAACTATTATTAGGATCTGGATTCAAAGTTCCAGTGGCCCCTCCCCCATGACCACGCGATCACATTATAGTTGCCAGTCCACATTTGCAGCCAATGGCAGCATCCCATGATCACACCTTAACGCATTTATTGCCAGAAACAAGTCTTTGGGCATGTTTGGGTTTGATAAGAAGAGAATATTAGCAGCTCAGGTTGAATTGTGGGGTCCTTGGTTCTCTCTAAACTTGGTTGTTTTCTTGCAGACGTTTCATGACCCAACTAGGAAACGTCATCAGTGCTAAAAGGGATGGTATATAAATAGAGCAAACCCCACTCCCTTCTAGCACTGATGATGTGGCCTTGTTGGGCCATGAAATGTCCGGGAGAAAACAACCAAGCTGGGAGAGCTTTCATCCCTGGAAGCTTCCAAGAAGATCCTGGACTGCCATCTGTCAGAAATGGTGTAGGGTCTCCTGCTTGGGCGGGAGGTTGGACTAGATGACCTACAAGGTCCCTTCCAACTCTGTTAATCTGTAAGAGCGGCAAAGACCTCCATGTTCCCCTGTGGTTGAAGATGAACGTTTTCTGTCTCACTTCTGCCCGCAGTTAACCGGGATGGCCATTGGCGCAGCGGTGGCCTTGTCTCTGATTGGGATCGTTGTGTATTTTGTGTACAAGAAGGTGAAGGAATCGAGTAAGTCTGATCGCTTAGCACCAACCCGCCGTGTCTGGATCACGGAGGTGAACGGAAGGGCTTTTCTTCCTGCACGGTGGAGCAGCTGGGAGGTTTAAGAGATGGTCGCATGAGATTTCTCAGCCTGTTGGAAATAATAAATGGGTCATAATAACGCATCAGAAATGGGTCTCCAAGAATTTAGTGGTTAAGATGCCAGGGTAGAAAGTAGGAGATGGTGAGTTCTAGTCCCGCCTTAGGCATGAAAGA